ATATCTAAAAGCCGTAATCTTAAAATTGGAATACAACTTTAACATCTACCGATTCTGGAAATAACCAGACATCATAAAACCAGTACTTTATAGTATAGAACAAACATTCGAAGCCCAACTTTTAACACCATTATTTCTTTCAAAATATTTTCTAAGGTCATCTCAAACAGTGTATACAATACAATTATTGCGTTTTCATCATAAATTTTGAGAAAGTATTTTACAATTCTTATATGTCTAACTATAAACAGAGGGTATCCTCCAAATTTACTATACAAAGCGGAAGTACATGTTGACATTTTTACATTTAGAATATATTTTCGAAAACAACTCTTATCATAAGTAACTGTAATGTAGCTAAAGATTTATTTATTTATTTCTATTACAAAAAAAAGAAAACAATAATGTCATTGAAACAATTAAAGTATATGAAACTCGTTAGTTACGAGGATATAACAATGGCTGGGGCGACATCTCGGGATGTTTCTGCCAAAAATTATACCGGCCTAACGGCCTCGCCATTTTTAGCAGAAACACCCCTTGATGTCGCCCCAGCCAGTGCCATATCCTCGTAACTGACTCGTTGTACTATAACTTTTACATATCCTTAAGAGAAAAAGATGTTAATTAAAACTTATATATAAAATTATAAGAACAATGAAAGTTATTTCAAAATAAATGCTCTTTTCATGGAGTGATTACACAGTTTTAAGCGATTTGGGCCGTCATATTTCTCTTGGTTGTAAGTCTTTCCATGATCTTTCTACTTAAATACATATATATAGACTTTTTCAATATGAATGCACATAATAAGGAAATATAATCACAGAAAACGTACATGGTGTTTCGTTTTTACGACATTCGAAATAACTTATATTGATTAAACAATCAGATAGCAAAATCACTTATTTCTATGATGATCACTTGATATGCATGATAATTATTATTATTCCATTTTAAAGAAATTAATGAAAATTTAGCGCATTTTGAGTCTTAAATAGTTATCATATTTTCTTTTGATATCACACATTTTAACAACGATTATAAGTTATTTATTGAGACAATGCAACTAGAAGCCCTTTTAAAACTTAGATTGTGATTCCATTGTGTATTTTCGGTTGGATAATTATTGTAAAACGTTGAATAACTGTATTTCTTATATTAAATTAGCGACAACGGTTGCCGGTGTTTCTCCACGACAAGATTGTTTTACAAAGATATTTATTATAATGCATTATTTGCTGGCGTATTGTTTGCCATGGGCAGGACCGCTTATTAATAAGAAACTTGTATTGCAAATGGTAGCAAGAACATTTATTTAAAGAGAGGAAGAAATAATATTTGGAGGAAAACTACTTAAGCAATATCGCGTTTAAAATTCTAATTTAAATGTAAGATCATCTATGCAGAATATAGTGGAAACATAAATATATAATAACAATTACATTCATCTATCTCGAATAATATTATACCGTTTACTTTTCAACAGTGTGCTAAAATTATTGTCAATATTTTGTAATACTAAAAAAATGCAAAGACAAGGCTCATTAAATCTATTTGACATTATCATATCTTTCAAATTACAGAAATTTTCTTGTTACTTGATAACTTGCTGAGTTATTATTACCCCTGAACGTCTTAAAAATTCCCATTTTGTTTAGTTCTGCGAATTTTCCACATTCAGAGCACTTCCGTTTATACTATAGCACCATACGACTAATTGCACCGAATTGCAAGAGAGCACACATCCCCTTACCACCGTTGTTTGAACAAATCTGCAGAAGTATCTATATTCGTATTAAATAGTTACTATTTCCATGTTTAAATAGTCAGTTCAGTCGGCTATTTGCCTGTACATTTTATTCTAAAAGTTTGCAAAGTTATATGTAAATAACCTTTAATTGAACAAATAGAGTGTTGACTGTTTGTTTCCTTGAATAACATTCAAGAATGGCCTGAGTGTCTTCAAATGTTTCGTTCTACTAAAACGTTTCTACTGAACAATGTATTTGCTGAAATAAATAAAATGATAATATTGTTAAAGGGTAAAATAAGTTGTTTTAAAAACTTCCACTACCAATATAACATTTTGTAAGATATCTGAATATCAAATAAATAAATACAAATAAATAGAAAAAAAAAAGATTTTTTTTCGCCATACAAAAAATCATCAAGGTTTATTTTACTAAAGTAACGTTGTATTGAAATAAAACAGCCCATTCCTCTTAAATTTCAAAATTATGTATATGTTCATGTATTTGAATTAAACCAACCAACTTTTCGAAGCGTTGGTAACATAAAAGGTGAGTTTTAAAATCTACTGTTAAAATGAAGAGATTTTGTATCGAATTTAAATTCTTTCTGATCAAAGAAAATTACTAGTTTAATTCATCTTTGCTTGGCTGTATTAACCAGTGTTTTCAAGAAGATAAAGCAATATTATCACATGTACTTATTACCCTTGAACGTGTTAAATTCTTAGCGCATTTGTGACACGAAAACAAAAACCAATCCATCCATCCATTCTCCAATCCATCCATCCATCCATCCATCGAACCCTTACAATTTTTGCTTCGTTGCATGATGCCTGCAACCATCTACCCATACATACACCCATCTACAAATGCATTCATCAGCAATCAACTCGCCCATCCACGCCCCCCTCTACATGCATCCATATATCTATGGAAACATCCATCTATAATAATTAGAACAGGTTAATAATTATTCAAATACTCTTTGCAGTAATTACTTCTAAATTTTATTATTCCCATAATCATATTGTTTTTATCATGGTTGTGGTTAAAAATAAATCGTAAGATAAGTAACAAGTTTAAATTAAGTGATGTTAAAATCAATTCACACTATAAAATAATCATAACAAACAAACAAACAAATTTCTAAGAGCTTACAATGAAGTATTTTTAGAAATAATGGTTACCTGTTTGATATTATCTTCCTTATTTCAAAGAATTGGCATATTCATTATTTCCCTCAAGGTATTATATTAGAAATTTGATATCATGGAGCATTCCCTCACGGCAACACATACTTTGGATGTATTTAATACAGAAACTGTTGTACATAATGTTGTGAAACTAGTAAGTAGACTCTTTAGCCAATCAAACAAGAGCTAAATACAAAGCTCAATAAGCTATTAGTGGAGTGACATTGTCTGAAAGTGTCTATAAATGAGATTGTTAAATATATGGGCGTGTACATTATAACGGTCTAATCGTTTTAAACATATCATAAACAAATAATGTTTTTCTCTGAAAGAAATGTTTTGCATCGATAAACAGATCTATCTATTTAAATTGTAGTGTTGAATAAATCCTGTTTCATTGACATCTATTGGCCAACTACATGCGCTCAATATAAAAAGTTATCAGTATCTTACACAAGAAAACCAATATCATTTCATCATTGTTTTAGAGTTTGTTTCATTATAATTGATTTCTGTAGATAAAATGCATGACTAATAAATTTAGTTTGATCAGTCCTCCTCATCTTTATCCGACACCTCATCAATACATATTGAAATGAAGAGAATGTAATATGTTTTCCTTTTATTAGTTTGAAAATATTATAATCATAAACTTTGAAACGAACAGAAATTTTGACCGTAAGCATATTTACTGCACGGGGCATGAACTCCAGAGGATCTTCACAGGTTTTATATTTAAATTTAAAGAAAGAAACGCTTGTCAATTTTTTTTATAAGGATCGGCAAGAAAAATGAAGGGCTCGGCGAGGGTCCTCTGAGCATTGTCTGATAAATTTTGTGATATCATACACAAGCCTGCTATTCTTTATATCCATGATGAGAAAAGAAAATGAATTCATCAAATATATATCAAAAATTACGCATGTTCGTAAGATATCTCAATTTATAAAATAAGTCTTTAAAAATAATATATAAGAGAATTACCTTGATGCCTAGGTCACAAATAAAACGGGCGCCGTCCGATTAAACGATTTTTATAAAATCGGCAGTTTTTTTGATGTCGTGGACGCCGGGCGATTTTAAATCTGATACCTTGCGTGGTCATGAATGAAACAGTCGTCGGGCGATTTTTTGCCGAGTGGATTTTACAGAAAGAATTGAACGGATCAGGCGGTCGCCGCCCGATGTCCGTACGGCGACTGTGCGATTTAAAAGTGAATCGGACGGTTGCCGCGCGGGCGCCGGGCGACAATGACTTTACATTTAATGACATCCTAGATAAATCAGCCAGTTGTAATTATGCCAGCAAAGAAGTCAGCTGCCATAGCCAAGTGGAAGGCCAAGGAGTTGGTCCGTGTTTTTGACAACGAGTCACCAACGGCCAGTATCGAGGCCGTAGAAGGCGAAAATCAATCAGACATTCGCATGGACATTGAAGAAAAAATTCATGTTTACTAGTATTCAAAAGAAATTCACAAATATATTTTTGAGGCAATTACAATTTCTTAAAGCTGAAAATACAACAAACACAAACAGCCCGGCCGCCGGATGACAAAACAATGACAGCCCGGTGCCTGTACATGAATCGTCCGGGTACCGGGCGATAATCGTTTGACTACTTGTCTCTATTCAAGCACCGGGCGGGGTCCGGCCGATGTCCGCCCGGACGCCTTTTAAATCGGACGCTGTTTTAGTAGAACAAAAAATCGCCCGATCAAAAAAATCATCGCCCGGTCGCCGCCCGGCGATCGAACGATTTCCGCTCGATGATATTTATACTCAGTGACCCCAAAAATTATCGTCCGGCCGCCGTTAGCTTTTAAGTATTACTTAAAACTCGAAGACGCCCGCCCGATAAGCAAAATTTTCAGCTGCTGCCGTCCGATAGTCACTGCCGCCGGACGGACGCCGGCCGATATTGCGATTTTTTGGAGAAACAGACGCCGCCCGGCGGCATTTTCTTATTTGTGACCTAAGCTTTAGCAGGAATAGGTATATATTATTGCATATAAAAAGCAACTTACTAACAAATGACCGAAATCTTTTATCACTATATAAATAAATATTGACTGCTGTTGTTTTTTATTTTGTCGTATACATACTAGTTAATGTTTATAAATCAAAATAAACACTTGACCTAATGACTAAAGTAAACGTGAACTCGACTGGAACCAAAACTAATAAACCTTGGCCACCATTACAGAGCTAGGGCCAGCATGTCCACGTGTGCAGTCTGACCAAGCTCTATACTGTACGAAGCCTATATTGCATACCTTTTTTTTTATTGAAATCCCTTCAGTTTTTAACAGACTGTTTCAACTTCTTTACACGAACACATTAAAGGCAAATTATGGCTCCGACACAAATAATCTTTAACTTCTTTAATATTGGCAAAAATGAGTATAATTACATTTAAACAAATGTTTGAAGCATGTTTGATTCTTGCAAATAAAAGTAAAAAATGTTAACAAAATAGATTTTTGACCTTCAAAAAAATTGTTGATACTTCTATTCGATATTCTAGATTATTATGAATATCTAATTATATTAAGATTTAATAAACAAGAAGTCTTTAAAAAATAATACGGAGTACCAACGTGATGATGTCATTCTGTGTTCATATATGTTCAAGCATGCAACAAGGGAAGGAGTTCATTTATATTTCAGAAAAAATAGTTTACAGATTTGTCCCCCTTACAGAACTGAGATCTAAATACATGTTATATACTGTTTGCATAGTACTATTAAAATAATCATCAATAGTAATAATGATAATGATAATGATGATGATGATGATGATGATAATAATAATAATATCACGAGAAATGATTTCAAAAGTAAAAAGCTTGCATAGTGCAGTCCTATTAAAGTCTTTACAAATAAAGCGAACCTTTGACCCAAAGGGTGTGATAACCTTTGTAGAGGATTACAAGGTGCTGCAACATCCCTATATCTATGATCTGTGCATTTATGTTTCCGAGAATACTTTTTCTTACTATACAAATTGGTGTTTAATAAGTGACCCTCGGGTGGGGGCTATTTTCACTCAAGGAGTATAATTTATATATAGATTTTCTAGATGTCTATTAGGCAGTATTAATTGTCAAATATGTATACTTTGGTTATAGAAGTTGCATAATAGAAATCTTAAATGTATTTCTCCATCTTTGTTTATGAATCATGTGACAGAAGGGGCGGGCAAACATCTCACGGCCGTCACAAAAGCCCAATTGTGCGAGTGTGAACTAAAAAGGCAGACTTTCTTCTTATGGAATATTCTGTTTTTGTTTATTTGGTTTTACCGCGCACCTACACAATTAAGGTCCTATAGGGCATACACAGGAAAGATAATTTTGGCTGTTAAATCTTCAAAGCAACATCAGGGATGAAATCCAACCAACCTGCATGACCTAAGAGATACATAGACTCCAGTTATTCAAATCCACTTAGTTGCCTCTTACGATCAAGCAGGGATAAACGATGACTGCAATTCTGATGCCTAAACCCCTCAGTCACAAAGGGAACAAATTAAGATATCATTTAATTATTTTCATGTTTTATATGACTGATTTAATTACATTAAAGCTTCTATATTGAAAGCAAAACATCTTTTGTGTATATTTTACGTGATATAGCCTTTGTAGCAGATGTGTTTGTGTTTACATCAATTGTATCATGATCCCTTGCACCGGCTTTAACGGTATTCAATCTTCAGTAAAAGTATCTGGATCAATCGCCCTAAAGAATTTGCTTGAATTTGTAATACATGTATATGTACGTCAGACATGTGCACACGCGTAGGCTTTGTGCCGATAAATTTGTTAATTATTCTAAAATATTAATATTTAGATTAAAGTAAACTAGAAATTCGTCCATAGAACACGGGTGCCTCCACACTCCACTGTTTTGTCAATCTTATGACTCTATGTCAAATATTTTTGGGCTTAATGTGCCACAGGTTGAAAACTAAAAATATTTTAATAAGTAAAGGCAAGAACTATACAAATACTGAATGAATCCACAGGCAGACAGAAAAATTAAGGGGCGTCCGTGCCTGAGTGGTTAAGATCGTTGACTTCAAACCACTTGCCCCTCACCTCTGTGGGTTCGAATCCCGACAGGGACTTTGGATTCTTTCATGTGAGGAAGCTATCCAGCTAGCTTACGGAACGCCGGTGGTTCTACATAGGTACCCGTTCGTGCCTGAAATAATGCACGGAAGGGCACCTGAGGTCTTCTTCTACCAGTAAAGCTGGAACGAGTGCACATGCTGACAAACATTATGGCCTACAGGTTAAATACTTTTTGAGCTATGCATGAACAAGTAGAAAATTGCAAATTTAAATGCAAATTTTATTTAAGTCTAGGCAATAATTCTAACAAAACAGAAAAAAATACACATGCAAAATCCCAAGTGCATAGCTTTACAGTGATCATTATTCCTGTAAAGTTGGATGATTCTTACTCAAGCACTCAAGGAACAAATAACACAACATAATGGAACGATTTTTACTAAGTCAAGGGCAATTAGTCTGACAAAACATAAGAAATGCACAAGCGAAACCCCAGGTGCACATCGTCAACATTCCTGTAAAGTTTCAAGACCCTATGTGAAATACTATTTGTGCGACACAATTTGAAAATTGCAAATTGTTTACTAAAAATCTGAAAACAAAGTGATCCCTCAGAAGCATTAATCACAACAACATTACAAGAGAATTGCAGACTCGGCTTGATTGAGTCTTTACATGAGGGATAAAATGAATACGTGCAACATCCCTCAAGCCCCTAGCACCGGCTTGAGCGGTACTCAATTCTCAACACTTAATTACACTTAATAGTGCTGGCATCAACGACCCGGAAGGACCAGAAAAAAATAACAACACTGAAGTGAAGTACGGGCAACTTTTTAAAGCTGCCATACAACACTGGGCATCTGCTGTTGTGAAGTATATAAATCTGGATACAAAGTGATCCCTCGGAAGCATTAATCACAACAACATAACAAGAGAATTGCAGACTCGGTTTGACTAAGTCGTTGGCAATAACTCTACAAATACTAAATAAATCTACACGACAATACTCAAGTGCACAACTACATATGCTGATCAACATTCCTGTAAAGATTCATGATTCTAGGTCAAATATGTTTTTAGCCACGTAAGACACATGTTGAAAATAGCAAATTTTAACTGCAAATTTTAACTAAGTCAAGGGCAATAACGTTGACAAAACAGAATAAATGCACAAGCGAAGCGAAGTAAAATGTGCACAACTACACAGTCATGCTAATTAACATTCCTGAAAAGTTTCATGACCCTAGGTCAAAACCTCTTTGAGTAACGTCGACAAGTTGAAACTTGCAAATTTTTACAAAGTCAAGGGCAATTACTCTAAAAATACTCCACACTAAAATACATAAGTGCACAACTACACATGCTGATCATCATTCCTGTAAAGTGTCATGATCCTAGGTCAAATACATTTTGAGTTACATGCGACGTAATTTGAAAATTGAAAATTTTAACTAAGTCAAGGGCAATAACTCTACAAATAATGAACAAATCCACATCAAAATACTCAGGTGTACAACTACTCATGTTGAGCAATATTCCTGTAAAGTTTCATGACTATAATAATTCAAATAATAAATAATTCATCAAATAATTATTCAGCTACATGAGAACGGACGGAAGGAAGGACGGACGTTCTAACGGGACAGTAATAATGTGGCTACTCTATTGTTCTCTCTATTGTTCTTTTTAGCCTACTAAACGAAAATAGCCACATAAAAACATTACGGAATGAATGACATCAAAGAGAAAGAACAGTTATCTATTTTCCCTCTAGCCACATTATTAAAGTCCCGTGAGAGCGGACAAACGGACAACGGTAAATCTAACCCCCGTCACCTAAAGTAGGGGCACAATAAAAAATAAATGACAAAGACCTATTTTATGAAATTTATTTGCTATCAATCAGTGATAACCAGACGAAATTTGGACAAATCATAGCAGCTTATACGTATATTCGTGATACGTGGAAAATAAATGCCCTGGCAGTCATTAGCATATAAATGGTAAAAACATGTATAATACTTTAAATATGACACTAAAATATTTCAATCGGAATTTTTGAAGCATTACAAACTTGAAATGAAAATCGTTTTCAAGTTTATTATGTTCAAGGCTTTTAAACTTGACAAATAGAACCCTTTCAATATAAACACGAAACTCTTTAAAGATAAACTGAGCAAACAAATCTTATCGAGCGTTAAATCAGACTTAAGTTCTTCAATATTCAACAAACTCAATATATCTTTAAGTGGTTTATTGATTATTTATATTTCATTACTTGCATGCGCAATAGAAAAATCCCCCGAAGCGGTTCATGTGACTTAAAGTCTGAAATAATTGTTTGTTTTACGTTCTGTTATATATATTTTATGGAAGTTAATACTGTGAATAGTTTGCGTATATTATCTTTATTTCATGTCGTTCATTAATGCCCTTTATCCCAGCGTATCCCTTTACGATATATTTTAGCCAATTTTCAACCTAATTATTCTGAATATTAAGTAAAATAAATGTTTTTTTTCTTTCTTCTTTTTATTTTCCATAATGCCATCCACACACACCAGGACACTCGTGAAAAAGCATCTACCGTGATTATCTTAACGGTCATATAGGGAACGCCTAAACTTCTTATGTGTAGAATGACTGATATACATGGTTAAATTTCATGCTGTTGAGTCAGAGATACAATATGCTGGGTCGAAATGCCAATATGCAGGATCGAAATTCCAATGTGCTCAGTTATTGAAGTGTTTTATTGTGTGATGATTACACATTCTTCAGCCAACTCAATGTATTGTCGGGTGCATTAGTCGTTTTGTTCAGTTCTTAAAACAAACATGCATATGTTGAGCAAAAAAGATATGTTGTAGGGTGTCACAGTTATTATGTTCGGTTATTATATGCTGCTTGGTGCTCTTCTCATTATAATAAACAGTTGAGTGGTACTATCATTTTGTTTGGCCGAGGCAGTGTATTAATGGGTTATACTTTCGTTATTTTCAGTTGCAGTGACAAGCTGTCATTGTCAAGTAGATGCTTTAGTAGATGCTTTAGCTAAACAATCATTAAATTTTCAAAAAACTGACTTATTGTTACCTGCTTGTCATTTTAGACCGGCTATAAATAAACTCGTATCATCTGAATGGAAGTTTAACATACGTTTTGTAGCCTATTATAGCATTTGGTACGATATTGCCAGTTATGTGTTGACGTGACGTAAAATTCCAAACAAACAAACAAAAAAATCAACACTTCTCTTACAACTCTTTTTTACATTCACATTAACCTAAATTGTCTGTCATTAAAGCATCGATCAGAAATATAAGTATTCTAAAAATCGACGCGGCTAAGTATCAGGATGTGCCGCATTCAATTAATCAAGGAAATTGCTTTCTAATAACCGTGGGTGCATAAAAACAAATATCCGCATCTGTCAAGCATATGTAAGCGATATATTGCGCAATGAATTATTTCAATATTGTATTTCATATATATCATTCGCGTTGCAAAGTTTGGAAGTTCCGCCTTATTTTGCACTTTTGCATTATCTCGCTTGGTCAGACTCAATTTAACCAAGTCTATTATTTTCCTTTTAAATTGGTCATTAATTTTTGCTTCCGAGGGATCAGACTTTTTTTCCATTATTCTAACTATGATTTTTGTCAAGGTAAATTAAGCTTTTATTTCAGATTTTTTTTTCAGAATACCTTACAAACTTTTCCATCGTCAGTGCAAGAACATTCAAACTTTTACATTGTAACTTTTAAAACTTTGACAATTAATCATACATTTGATTGACAATCAACCATAATTATATTTCTTTAGAAAAAGAAATCCAAAACTTCCATGTTGGTCTCCTAAAAATCTAAAATGTTTTTTTTTTGTTCGTTTCAAGTGAATTTGAATGATATGGTTTGTTATAGGCATATGTAACGTGATATTGCAAGGCATCGCCTCTTTAAGTAACATCATTTAGATAGCTCGATTAAATGTTACTATTCACATTAAAAAGTAGATGATACGATATCTTTGCAATTTCGCTAAGTGAATTAAAAATGTATTTCAAGCAATATTGAATCAAGTTAAGTAATCATGTTTGATAGTTATTGAAAACATTAATAAACTGGTAGAAACCAATAAATCTGTTAAATATACAAATTTCTTCGGAAATGGTTAATATATAAAACAGTTAAATGGTTAAATGCTCCAAAAAGTCATTGCCTTTGCCATAACCCCCCTTTGAAATCCTTGTTGTCAGTCCGTCTAAATCATCTCAGTTTGATGATGACAATACATGAATAACACATTGGTTTGTATGTAACAGTAAAAATATTATACTGAGGAAAACAAATGTTACCCGAGGCGTTAGCCGATGTAATTTTCATGTTACTCAAACACATATGTGTTTCTTAATATAACCCCGAACTAATACTTCAATGTACATAGTTTCTATAAGCTTTTACTTTTCATGATTTAACTGTGAAAAGAACTTTTACGTAAATAACAGTACAAACTTATAGTCACATGGTACACTTGTATTTACAGTTAAAAAGATTAACTTCTAATGGCATATTAGAAATTGATATTACAAACATAGTGAGGGTGATTATATATAAATAAATTAATTTGGATACATATACATACATGGGTTTGAGAGAAACAGTTCAAATATTTATTGTAACTCAAAAGCCTATATGTTATTTATTGTATTACTAAGAACAAATATTACAAAAGGACACTGCTGTTTTAGTCATTTTATTCTTTATTGTGAAGAAGAACTGAGTACAAACTTTTAAGTCACATGGTACATTTAAGATAACAGTAAGAATATCTCCCATTGGCCTGTGAGACATAAATATTACAACAATAGTGAGGGGTAATTATAACAAACGTTGTGCTGCAATTCTACTTCAACGCTGGTCGTCATTCATGAATTTGATTAAAATTAAAGGATTTGTATGATGACATTTAAAATGCTCTTCCTTTGCTTAGGTGTTAGAGTGAGTAATCGAAAGAGGAGACAAATTTGCAAACTAAAGCAGAACAGATTAAAATTATATACACAATTCAAATACTTAAACTTTAATTTAATTACTGTTATGTTTTGTACTGAGCATTCATCAGAACCTAATAATGGAATAGTCGCGTCCTTAATGTAATATTTTGCAAGGAATTATGGGATGACGTCATATCTGCGCATGCGCCAAATAATTGTGACCTCCCATTTCTCTCAAGTAATATTTACGGAAAGAAATAGAAAATATAAATTAACTTACTGGTAAGTACAAACTTTCATTTTATAGTGTTTTTTTATATTGTTGCTTTCTTATGAAATTATTAAGCGTGTCGTATCAAATACACTAACTCGCATCATAACGATTTGTCGCATCTTAAACTTCTTTCCCTTCCCATAAGGTCAAGCTCACACGTACAGGTTGAAGGTTTACCTTCTTACAATCAGAACTTAAAATCAGAACTTAAAGGTTCATACATTTGTGTCCGGTCTGTAACTTTGTCATGCATGAAAACAGGTCTCGACACTAACTTTTCAGCAGGTGGTATGCTGGACCACTCGATCCAAAATTCAGGTGGTTCTTTCTGAACACAGGTAGTCAATCTTTTTTTTTACTGATTTGTTTTTAAGGAAACTTCAGATTTAGAAGAACTACACTTAAAATTGGTGACAGAGACATATTTATTATTAAATTTATAACAACTGAAGAAAACATGTATTTTTTCTATTTCAATCTTAGATCAGATAGTTTGTCATTGTAATCCTATCTCATTGAAAAATACATGACAGTACTCATACTTCGGTTAAGTGACTTCTTCCGCAACTCAAGTTAGGGAAAAGTGAAACCATTTGTGAATAACATATTTCCTTATTGTTATTCAAATACTCATTGCTGTTTCCTGGTACATCTTATAAGAATGATAATTGCTTTTTATAGATTAACATTTTTAATTTAACTATTAAGTTATTATATTCTTGTCTTTGAAACAATGAAATATTAATGATAAACAGAAAAATTACTACATTATAATTGAGCTTATCTTCCTCACAGATTTATTATACAGTAAACTCCGCTTATAACGAACTCACTGGGACATTCAAAACCTGTTCCTTATATCCGGAGTTCCTTGTAAGCATATAGCGAATTAGTTTCTTGTATCAGGAGTTTTTATAGCGTACAGATTTACATATTACGAACTGATTGTTTACCATTGTCCGCCATTTTTGAAGAGCATTTGATTAAGAAATAGAACTATTAGTCATTAATTTATAGTTTAGAAACAATACCCGAGAGCGTACTTTTTGGCATTTGAAAAACATTGCTATTTCAGTTTTAGTTTTACTCCCTATCTCAATTTCACATAAATTATTATATTTTGTTTCTAAACTCTTTTCGTTTTCTTTCCATGATTGAGAATAAACAAGATTTTCGATTTTTCCTTCCTTTAATATTGAATATCTTCTATTATAATATAAGGGTGACTTTTTAATGTAAGATATAGATTTCTTTTCAGTTAAGTCAAGCGTACTTTGCAGTTTGCAATGGATCATGCTTGCAAGCATGCATGATTATGTTGAAAACCGATTATAAATTATCATAATTATTTTACTCGAGCAAAACTAGTGAAGAAAATAAATAAATAACCGTTTTATCTTGGTGAAAAGAGATCATGCTACAAATATCCTAAATAGAAAACTATACAAATTCATTTGAATAGATGTATTGAAGTACATACAACGATAAACGGTAAATTCCCCCGAGTTTTCATTCGTGCGAATGAAAACGAAAGTTGAAAATGCGGGATCTATAAACGAATAGCCAATATTTTGGAGTTCGTTATAAAAGTGTAATTTTCTGTTGTATTAACTAAATTGGGACTTAGAAATGAGTTCCTTATAAGCGATAATTCCTTATAACCGTGTTCCCTATAACCATATATTTTTATATCAAATAAAAAAGGGCAAAATTCGGGTCAAAATAAATTGTTCCCTATAACCGGAAGTTCGCTGTAACCGTGTTCGCTATAAGTGAAGTTTACTGTACATGCTTGTTTGTTGAAATTTATTTATTTTTGAAAAAGTATTTATAACCTTTTAAAGTACTTTAAATAAGCAAAAAAAATGGATCTCTGATCGTTTAAAAAAGTAGCCAAAGATTACTAGATATTTATTTTTTCCTTTGCCTTTGTTTGCACCATTATTCATGTGTTTATCCAATATCCCATTATAGTGATTCAATGTTATAAATTCAATGCAGTACTAGAGACATTTGATTGAATTTTATATTTTAATTATTAAAATAATTTTATACTTTTTTAACTACACTGTTAGCGAGTTAATAAAAAGTTATGGATGTCTTAAGATCTTTTTGAACTAATGAGATGAATGAACATATACCTGTACATCGGAGAAATGGTTTTAAACAACAATTATAGAACACGTTTTTCGACCAAATAACCATTCTCCCAGATGAGCCCTGCACCATTTGGAAAATTCAAGTGGTCTAAAGGATCAGTTGCCTGTAAAATTAGGTGGTCCTTGCCAAAATCAGGTGGTCTCGGACCAATGGACCACCGCTAATGTCGAGGCCTGCATGAAATGATTTTGAAATAACTTGGCACGAATTTTCCACCACATAATGACGCTGTGGCGCGTCTAAGACTCATGTCCTATCTCATAGGTCAAGGCCACACTTACAGTTTGAAGGTACTCATTCTCAAAAGAGTTTAAATGTAAACTTCGTTTTCGGACAGTAGCTTTGTCATTTAAGGATTTTTAAAAAACTTGGCACAAATGACCATCACATCAACACGACGTGTCGCGTCTAAGGCGGCCCATACCATTTCGTAAAAGTCAACGTTGCATTAAGCAGTTGAAGGTTCATAGTCATGACCAGACATGCAATTTTAGACTTTAAAATAACTTGAGATGTATGCCTTCATGACAAACTAATTGTGTTATCTGAAAATATAAAATAGCGAAGGAAAGCGAAACATATACACACACGCACACGTGTGTGTGTGTTGGTGTGTGTGTGTGTGTGTGTGCGCGCGAACACACGCACATACACGCACGCACGTACGCACACACAAATTGAATTGGTAGGTTTGCAGTAAGATTCAAGATCTTGAGAGTGAATTCAAGATAATAGTGTATGCCGCCTCTTCTATTGTAAGCCGAGATTGAAAGACCCTGAAAATTTAATAATTTGACCATCAAGGTCATCCATGGGTAAAGATTAATTCAAATTTGATATTATACACGAAGGTCCAGATCTAAAAGATGATGTGTGTAAATATGGAGTTAATCAATTTATAAAACAAAGTTAAACCCAGTTACAGAAAAAAACAGGGAATTTTATTAATTTGACCTTGACAGTCAATGCCTATTTAAGGTAATCTAAATTATTCAATAACTCTGTTTAGTAGCAAGTTTTGCATTGTCCCAGAATAAATAGTATAAAGATACTCCATTTATTAATTACAAAGTTACAGTAAATTATAGCGAAAATCAGTGAACATTTCAATAATCTAACCTTCAAGGTCAAGGTCATAAAGAGCCAATGTCAATTTGAGTTTGATGCATTAACCCATTGCTTCATGAGCATTTTGTGAAAAATGGCTGTTTTCATTGAAAAGTCTCCCGTTACAAGTTCAAATTGCTATAATACTATAAAAACTGCTTCAACACTAATCAAACTTGGCACAAATGTTGACTGGACCATTGCCCTTGAAACAACATGCTCAGGCTTAAATTTTCTGTTACCATGGCAACGAGGGGACATCTCAAAATTGCCAAAAATCACTATTTTGCGTTGATTTTTTCCATCAAAATTGATTTCAAAGTGCTGCAACTTTTCAATGGATTGAGATAGAGTCAAATGCTTTTCAGCGTTGGTTACACGTTACCTTATGATCAATCTGGGGTCATTTACAGCCTCTCACAAGTCCAAAATTTTCTTGGCACATCCCCCTTCTGGCAACCCCCTGTTTTTTAAACAACATTTCTCAAACAAAAACAAGTGTTTGGGGCCAAATTAAGGCATTTTTTCATCATTTGAGACAACAAAAAAGGGGGGTGAAAAAGGCGTTAAAAGGCGTGTATATGAAGTAATGGGTTAACAGAAAATGATGAAAATGCTTGAAATTACCCTAAATCGCGTTTTTTCATGTTTTGAACATGGCCTGTCATATAAATTTGAAGAAAAATTGTTGTTTTGTAGATTTTTTTATTTTTTTTCATTAACAGAAAATGATGAAAATGCTTGAAATTACCCTAAATCGCGTTTTTTCATGTTTGAACATGGCCTGTCATATAAATTGAAGAAAAAATTGTTGTTTTGTAGATTTTTTTTTTTTTTTTCATTAACCCATTGCTTCATGAGCATTTTTGTGAAAAATGGCTGTTTTCATTGAAAAGTCTCCCGTTACAAGTTCAAATTGCTATAATACTATAAAAAACTGCTTCAACACTAATCAAACTTGGCACAAATGTTGACTGGACCATTGCCCTTGAAACAACATGCTCAGGCTTAAATTTACTGTTACGATGGCAACGAGGGGACATCTCAAAATTGCCAAAAATCACTATTTTGCGTTGATTTTTTCCATCAAAATTGATTTCAAAGTGCTGCAACTTTTCAATGGATTGAGATAGAGTCAAATGCTTTTCAGCGTTGGTTACACGTTACCTTATGATCAATCTGGGGTCATTTACAGCCTCTCACAAGTCCAAAATTTTCTTGGCGATGAGTGGGAATCCGCCCCCCTTCAAACCCCCCAAACAGAAGGGGGCACATCCCCCTTCTGGCAACCCCCTGATGTATATTTTGGTTGGGGGGCCGCGCCTAAAAAAAGGTCACGTTTTTTAACAACATTTCTCAAACAAAAACAAGTGTTTGGGGCCTAAATAAGGCGTTTTTTCATCATTTGAGACAACAAAAGGGGGGGGGGGGTGAAAAAGGCGTTAAAAGGCGTGTATATGAAGTAATGGGTTAAGCGCTTACCCTAAAGTATGTTGTGTTATGATATAGCTCAACTCAAACTCAACTCAAATATTTTATTAAAGTCTCATCTTTGTGCATCTTTACATATTTACATATATTTAAGAAATAAAACACAAATTTTACACAACACAAAGCCATTCCTACATAAGGAGTTATAAGAGACTGTAAAAGTATTAAAATATTCTCTAGAATATCTATTTTTAATAATAAAAACTCAATATTTACACACAATTTTACATGAATTATATGGTCAAGGAGGTCAAATTTGTGCCTATCTGTCTGTTAATTATAACATTATGACAATAATTGTCTGAGCTAACCCTGTGTATTAATACTTTTTTATTCATAAAATCGTTTTAATTTAGCTTATACCCTTTAAAGTTAGATATAAAATTCATGATGATAAAATTCCTTTATTACAATGCATTGATAAAAATATCTTGTTGTATAAGTTGTACTTATATACATGTATTTACAGCAATTTGTATTGTTAAAAACATGTAAAAACCCTATAAATATAAGTAAAAAAACAACAACAACAAAAATACAATTCAACTAATGACTAGATTAGTTAAAGTAAAAAACAATTTATCTCCTATACAGCATTAAACGTATAAGTTGCAGTATTTGGTAGCAGGCTTTGGCAGAATATTTAACAATTTCAAAGTTGTTTAGTAAATAACATAACTTTTCCGTGTCAGACAGAGTATCAGATACATTATTAATTTGGCGTGTTTTCACCAACACATCTTCTCTGATATCATTATATACTGGGCAGTGTAAAATTACATGAATCTCGCCCTCAACATTTGTGGTACAATTGAAAAATGTTCTATCATTTACATGCAGATTCTCATAACGGCCTGTTTAACTGGATAGGCGCAACACCACAACGAAATTTTGTCAAAGAACTTCTATGATGGAAGGGTAAATTGTACTGGATGTATTTTTCAACAACAGGATTTTCTTTAAGCAAACTATATGTTCTAAGTTTATTATCACCAGTATTTCTATTGGAATCATTCCTATTTAGTGACTGTTTCCACTTATCTAATTCAACTGACGGTAACTTGTTCTCGACCATTTCAACTATTCTCTTAGCACTAAAAAGATGTACATCATTCATATTTATCTCAATACTTCTAGACATCTTACATATTCTAAAATACTGGTTTTTACATCTGGAAAAAGCATTCCGTCTTACCCAATCAAAGATTTGTTTTATTAATTCTACCAATTTCTATTTTTTGACATTCTGCAGAAGTGCCTGACTATAGAACCCACTGCTTAACTGTTGATGGTTTTCAGCCCATTTCCCCAATAACCGCTGCAATAACCCAACTATCTCATTGCTCGATTTTGAATAGCATTTATGCAGGAAAATGAGCCGTCACCCAAGATTGCAGCACCGTAATTAAGAACAGACCAAACAGTAGTATCATATTATCTCGTGAATGTATACTGAAATTCACTCACCAATTTACTCTTTGCTATGAGAAGACCCAGTAATATAGAGTCAATCCATTCATTAATAGCATAGTTAAAGACAAGTATAATAGCAAAATAATTATATTTTCAATAATTTGACCTAAAATTCAAGGCGATTAATGGGTAAGGGTCAAAGTCTGTCTGGTTAACTTAAAGGGCTATCATAAAAGATAATTATGTTCAAGTTTGGAGACAACCTAAAGACAATTGCCAATTATAACAAACATCAGCACAAATATATAAAAAAACAACAACAACCCCCCCCCCCCCAAAAAAAAAAAAATAACAATCTAAGTTTAGACTTTTGTCCTTGACCATAGTTAATGTTTGAGGACGGCAACATCAACGCCGACATGACTGTAACAATACCTCCATTTCTTTGGAATAAAATGTATAGATAAAAATAGTTTAAATTTTGTAAATGTATATTCCAGATTTTAAATGTAAATTAAATTTTTTGTCATGAAAATAAAATAGGATACTAGTACCTGACAGTGTTATATAGCGAGCTACGATAGAAAGAACGTTTCGGGAATATTTTCGGTTTTATATATTATGACTTATTTTTTTTTTGTGCTGATAACTCTTTAGAGGCCCTAATGGGGTGTTTTAATAAAACATGTTAAGTTTTCAGATTTTAATGAAATATTTAATCCTTTAGCGAAGAAATCAAATTATATGCTCGACGGATAATATGATTTGATTCGACTCGTTCAAAAAATTTAAAATTTAACCTTTGCCTATACAATATCCTCTATGAAAGAAACATTTATTCGTAATTTGAGTGCATTGGTGTAGGTTAAGATTCATATGCGCAGGAATACATTTATAATCACGAAGGTTGACAATTACAAAACATGTGAACGATAAACCATCATTATTTTACTACAGTTCAAGAAAAAAAATATGTTGCTATATTTCATGCTAACGTATGCTTATGTACAGAAATATAATAAATTATGTTTTACTACATTGCACGTAAAAATAATATCTGGAACCATTCGGTTAATGTCTTTATATCTGACGTTATTTGATGTGTAAGGATTTAGTTTTGATGTTTACTTATACTGTGCACTTGATTGCTTTATCTGTACGATAAAGAAATATTGTAAAACGTGTTAGAATTGAAGTCTTATTTAATAACGTTTTTACGCGCAAAATTTGGTTTATCTTAACATCGTCGTCTGTTCGGCACGTTTTTGTCGGGTTTCTTTGTTATTCAACTGAAGAAACATAATATAAAGCGAAGCATATCTTGAGAAACTATATTTGTTTATGAGTTTTTATCAATAAAGAATACTAGCTAAAGTAAATTAAAGAATCTAATCTGAAACACACGAATATTTATTTTCGACATTATAAGCTTGTTTGTTTCTATGTACACCTAGTTTATACTTATTGAAAAACATGCTTACGCGCATTGCAGCCGAGGATATACATTCAAAGTTGTATAATTGCAATTTTATTGTAGATTACACCCCTGATCTAAAACTGAACTTTCGGTAGCAATGCCGACGAAAGAAGAGGAAGAAGAAGAAAAAAAGAAAGTAGAGAAAGAGAGAGCGAATTGGACGAAAGCAATTTCTGGTTTGAATATTACAAAATGTGGTCTAATTATTTCAATCCATAAAAGTTTGAAAGACTTTCTGTGTTCTTTTTCAAAAGAACAGCTTGATCATTTGTCCGAATTCTTCGAAAATATACAAAATTCTCATTTGGAATTTGTAACAGAAAAAGGTGAAAAAAAGGGCTCTTGGAAAATTGCCAAAGGCAAGTGTGAATCAGATCTGTGTCAAGAAATCCTAGATCTTTCATGGGAGAAACATGTTAACAAATCAAAAAAGGTTGTTTGGAGCCCTGGGAAGGAGAAAAGTGGTTTGTATAACCGAAATAACGTGAATTGGCGATTTGCAAGTTCCTTCAATGAAAAATGTTCTGTTTGTTTGAAAATTAATTGCCCATTCGAGCGCTATCGAAAAGGCTTGGCTTTGTTCGATGACAAGCCTCAAGAAAACGTCGTCGATAAGTACTATTGGCAGTTCGCGAATATGTATATGTTTCGCGGTCAGGAAAAGAATAATTTTCCGAATACTAGGCCTGAAGATACAGAATCTGCATTGATTTTCAAGTTGATGAAGAATTGCAAGTTGTTTTCACTAGATGAGGAGAATGAAATAGATAATTGGATTTACGACGATGTATGTACTCAAAATTTAACTTGCTTTTTAATTTATCAATTATTTAATTTAAAAAAAAAAATATATATATATATATTTATAAAGTCTTATATATTTACTAATTGCTAGGTGCCCATAGTTTACACGAAAACATATCACAAGCGCTTTCTGGTTTTGAAAAGTTAGTGATTGTAAACTTAATTAACTTATCATGAGTTCCTGTGACTTCTTTTTATGATTGCGGAGGAAGTTAAATGGGGTCACCGTTTTTGTCCATCCGTCCATTTGGCTTAAAACAATTTTAGTTGTGTGTCTTTCCCTCAACAGCCACTGACTGGAATCAGTCTCATCTTAAGTGGAAGCTATATATGTCGAGTTCAATGAGTAGCATCTTCATTGGTTATAACAATGTTATGCTCCTTAAATACCTTTTAGACGTTACCATTTTTCAACAAATACATATTAGAAATAATAGACCCTCACCATCACGTGTAAGCCGAACCGAATTATTGCAGCTGTTACTGGTTTATAGGAACTTAACTGTATCCGGAACCAAAACTCTTATTTCTGACAAAGGGATTTTTATTAAACCCTTAAAAATATGTAAGAATACCAATGTAATTTGCCTTGCTATGTCGATAGCAAGACCAAAGTCACTTTAACAATAGTAATATACTTACCTGTTCAATGTTTTTAAATAAGATAAACATGTTATGTGATATATTTGTTTCCATAAAGGGCCATAATTTATTTCTTATTTGCTTTTGAAATAGTTTTTATAGAAACAATGATGTCCCATCGAAGTATATTGGGCATATTGTTATGCAGCATCATGTCGGTAAGTACGCGTGTCCATCGGTCGGCCAGTCCCACAATACTTGATAACGCATTTGTCATTTTCCTTAAAGCTTGTCGGAATAGGACAGCAATTGATCCCTATCGACTTTAGGTGAAGGGCTCATAGATTATGGTCACATTGACCTTTTATACCATATGACCGATGACAGGACATTTCCAACATTGTGGTTATGTGACGAAATCGTGGAAACGTTACGTCAAAGTTGACGCCATTTGATTTAATCATACGACGCGCGCTTGTCCAATTGACATTACGCCGCCTGTCAATCAAGCTGCAGTGGTCTTACAGATAAGCCAATCGGCGATCGTTATCAGTTTCATGCTAAGATGTCTGAGAAGTCCGCCATTTTTCTTAGACAAGCTATGTGTATAAGACAATGGTGTAGAAGTATTTATATTGTAATTTTGATTTTTTTGTCAATTTAAAGCTATTAAAACGGTATATCTAAGTTACAAAATGTCCGACATATTGACAGATTGAGTCAGTTAGTTCATTTACAAAAAAAACAAAAATATCAGTAACTTTCTATATATGAAGATAATAAGTTATATAGCAGGTAGGAAAGTTAAAACTGGCTATACCACATTGCATTAAACAACAAATACTCTATTCCTTCCTTCATTACAATTATGTCTATTCATAATCACATAATATAAGGTCTCAGAATATCCAGAAGATATAGAGGATATTTGTTTGTTTGTGTGTAAGATGAAATTTTATTTCATCGAGTGGGCTTTAAAAACAGTATTCTCACGAGTGGCGTAGCCACGAGTGAGAATACTGTTTTTAAAGTTCACGAGATGAAATAAAATTACATCTTACACAACAAACAAACAAATTTTCTTTTTATTTTATGCTAAAAAAACAAGTTAAAACGAAATTTCCATAATATTAACGTAAATATTAAATTCTGTTTTCTACATTGAGAGCCCCATTTAGTCGGAATTTCTCATTAAAAACAAGAAGTCTTGAGCTGAAAAATAAGTCCGACAATCAACATTAAATGACAGTGATATTATTTATTTTGTTAAAAAATATGAATGATCGTTTGTTTTAATAATAGAAACAAACAATTCTTGTAGGAAAAAAATTCCAACCATCCATCCATATTTCTGTTACTTACTGCGAATTTATATTAGACCTGGCTTTGTTAAATGTAAGCGGCAGCCATTTTTTAAAGTTGTGTATTTCACGTGAGGAAAATAATTGTGTTTGATTCAGAGGTATATCATTTGGATTTGTTAGTCATACACTTTTTAAAAGAAAGAAAAACATATTTGTGGATTGAAACAGACAGAAAAAAGTGTTGACATATGTGAAAACAAGAAAAAAGCAGCTATGAAAATGGAAAACTTGGAACTTGCTCGGAACGCTGGGTATTTAACTTGTTCTACGAGCTGATAGCTGTCATTGCTTTACAATTTTTCATAAAGTATACGGCAGTTATTGCTTGTAGGATACTTTAATATGCCCACATGTCATCAAGAGCAGTTTGCATGTGGAAGGAATGTATTTTTCAGACTGTAAAAATGAAACAAACAATTTAGAAATGAAACTTGGTGATTGGAATTTGAATGAATAGAAGTAAGTTTTCTTCTTTTATTACTTTTGACATTTAAGTTATTTATCAATTTCAGCTTTGCGTTTTCTTTAAACAGCCTGACATTGTCAGAATGGTTAGCAAAAATAAAATTGAGGTACCCCATGGGAAAAATCTTAAAAAAGTAGTTTCGGCATTGAAAAGTGTGAAATCATATTTTGATAATTTTTTATTGTGAAATTATCAAATATAATGTTCACGGATAAATCAGTAATCCACTTGTTCGTTTATAACGTATAGCGTCAATAAAATGCTGCAGTAAAAAAAGTACAGAAAAAAGTACTTGCAAATAAAATGAAAAAATATGCAATAAATATTTCAGGGGAAATTATCCTACCTAAATATTTATTTCTATTAAAGCTCAATGAATTAAGATTAAATATTAAATATTTAAATACATCTGCTTCAATAACATCATATCTGATCACGGTTTTAATTTAAAGTTGAGGTATGGTATATGTGAAATTCAATTTGAAGTGAATAATATTGCATTTTATCACGAAAATAACTAAATTAAATGTACAAATAAACATATAATCATATATCATACAACAAAGTTACGCAAGGGCAATTTTCTCATTGAATTTTGACATTTTGTGCGCTAATGCATTATATATAAGTGATTTCGCACATATAACCCCAAAAACATTTGTAAATATTACTGTTTCATTGATATAATTTTACTATTATATGTTCCACTACATCAATTTTAACTATCTTTGAACTAAAATGATATTTTGTCAGTAACATCTTCCTTGATGTCAGCAAGAAATATAACAAAATCTTTGTCAAACGTTTTATTCATCATTAATGTGCGAATACAGTTATTTGTTACTTTTATAAATACCATAATGCATTGAACTATTCAATAAAAGCATTAAAATTTTATATATACCAAATGATATAAGGCAAATTCATTAGTCACTTAAGTGGCATGACAGTTTCGCGTAAACGTCGGTACCGTCTTTTGTCTAAGGTTCTGAATGACCGGGTCACGTGAACCAGTGGGCGGAGCAATCTCTTCTCTGGCGTAATGTCAATTAGAACTGTGCAGTTTTCAAACAGTGTGCACACCAGTTGTATGTAAAAACATCGTAAATGCACATATTTAATTAATTCATTCACCACAATTATGACGGATTTCCGCAGTTTAAAGATATGGGTAGAAATGACTCATTTCTCCAGCGTAAAGATTAAGTACACCGGTAAGCGGGTGACAAAACACTCGCTGAATCGTGATCTTTAATACCAAAGAAGAAAATTGCAAGGAAAATATAAGTTGACAATCTAATTTCATCTATTCAAACGACAATTGACATATTGAACAGAGAACACTTTCAGGGCGTACTAACTTAAAATAATTATAAATTAATTACATGTATTTTTTTTCTTTATTGTGACATGTCGTTACTGATATGTAAATAAATTGGATTAAACGCTTTCATGTAAAAAGAACAAGGAAGATATAACATCACACATATATCATGTTTAATATAATGAACACTCAAAACAAATGTATTTAACTGAGATACAATTGTGAAGTATAACGGATGTGTGCGTTAGGCACTTGGAGTTGTTTAAACCCCGTCCTGTTTTTATACTGCATTTGTAGTAGACATATGGTTAAATTTATTTTTGTCAATATTTTGCGATGTTATTTCAGAGTACTCTGTGAAGTCGTTGTAAAAGTTTTTGCTAATAAGTGAAAGTCTTGACTTTTCTTTATGGATATAACACCCACTCATGGCGTTGGGAACGAAGCTTTGACGAACGTTTGAGAGGCCTTTGTAAAGTTTTATGATTCTGTAAATGTCCTAAAGACGTATTGTGTATCTTGTTTATTTTTAAAGCTTATCGCATGACCGCCACAACTTTCCTTTGAAGATCGGCGTTCTCTAAATTTCAGTATTGGAAAACATTGGGGTGCTCAAAATGAGGTATCAGTACGCTTTGGGGTGCTCTAAATGAGGTATCAGTACACTTTCTCGCGCATGCCAAGTTTATTACCTTATTTCAAATAATAAAGTGAGTATACCTGAAAAAGAGGAAAACAACACATTACTCAGTTGACAGAACTTTTAAAAAAAAATATTTACATATCATCTCGATCTTTTTTCTTCAAAACTTGAAAATGCAGTTATTATAAAGATGTTGACTCCAGTGGAATGTAATCGTCATTTTCTGCATCCTGACCTCGAGGACAAATCTGAAACAATGATCACATTATTCATTTTTTTTTTGCTTTCAACAATGCCTTCGTTTAACAGGAGAGTCTGACCAGTAAGCCACTCAGTAAATCACTACACGTATGGACATAACATTCTAGCGTTATTATTAATAGATGGGAGAAGTGTTCATTTTAAAAAATACGCGTACAAGATAAACCTCTGAAATAAACACTGAGATTCTTATCGACAATATTTCCTTGATTATATTTTGAAAATGAGCTGGAAAGATGATTAATATTTCGCATTAAGAAAAATGCATCAACTTACCTCGTCAAATGGTTATTTATGTCCAGACATCTAATGTGTGTATTTTTGCTAGTATTTCTAAAGATATTTATATGTTTAATTAAAGCAAATATAACGAGAGAGCGTAAATCTCCAAGAAAAAAGTCGTGATGGTCATGCGATAAAACTGTTACAGAATAAATACTCGGACTTCACCGGCTGGTATCAGCTCATCGGGCGACAAATGGGTCAATCATGGAAATTTATCTCGACGTTCCGTCTCGATTAATTTCCTATGATTGACCCTTTTTGTTGCCCAATGCGCTGATACCAGCCGGTAAAGTCCTCGTATATATTCTATATATCCGTGGTCGAAGGGTTAGAGTCGATGACTTCTAATGCAGTTACCTCTCTGGCGTGGGTTCGATCCCCGGGAGATGCTTTGGTAGTTTAGCGCGGAGGAAGGTTGTCTATTACTGGTGTAACTCTCCAGGAACGATGGTTAGGAAACTACCCGCCTATATGACTGAAATACTGTTGAAAAAAGGCGTAAAATAAAAAAAAAACAAACAAACAAAACAAACATGTATGTATACTGCTGATGTTTCCCGCTATTGTGGGACTTGTGCATTTTGTAAATAAATTGAATTGAAAATTGATTCAAAGACAATAACTACACTAATAATAACAAGAAAAATCACCGCAACGGTAACTTTAAGCTGTAACTTCTTTTGTTTAGCGCAGTGTTCACGTAAGCGTTGACTTTCTGAACGGTTGCCATAATAAAAATATTTATCATGCTTAAAAATGTTATTGTTAATGATTTTATGGAAATATACTTTACCTGCCTATGATTATACAACTTTAGATGGCTTACAATTGATACGGTACTCTTGAAAAATTCTGTGTAATATAGTCAGTATAAAAAAAGTGTGAGCTTCTTTGTTAATAATTTCAATATTAAATTTTGCAAGCGTTTTACGTACTAAGATACATTTAAACATGTAGGAATATATTTTTAGCTAAAAGATGATTCCGTTAAAACCGTGAGACATAGCATTTTTTAATGACGTCACAAGCGCCAAATATACCGACAAACCGGTTCTGCCAAAAATGTTCAATAGCGTTATAAATCAATTTGACCACTATATATGTTGGAAATGTTACGGCTCAATTATCTGTTTCCTACTAGATATTACATTCACCTCATAGTTGCATTGGTCTTTTACAATATGTTATTTTGTATAATTACGAGGGTCGTAGACGAAAAGGCCAAGATCACGTTGACCTTGTATGTCAAAATTGTTTCTGACCAATTACTTGACAGCCAAAACTTGCTCTAAAACTTAATAGAAGCATTGGTCTCGGCAAGAACACGACCCTTATGATTTTGGATTGCAGACTCAAAGATCAAAATGCATTAGCATTGTATGTCAAAACTGTTCCAATCAATAACTCGACAGACAAGGGCCTCTGTAACGTCACATGTGCATTTGTCATGGGCTGAAGATGACCCCTATTACTTTAAGTGTGGAAATTGTTCTTTGTTAAACTGACTTCTAACTCTTACCCTGACTCTTATGTGTTCCTGATATATGTAATCTGCTGTTGAATATCACATCATATTCTATAGATCACAAGTCAGTCATCGTGTAATACTTTGTTTTTATATTTGACCTTTAGACATAACAGAGTGTTTGTAAGTAACAAGAGTTTTTAAGCAACTATATCGCTATTCTTCTTTCATTGTAAATAAATTAATGTAAGTAAAGTAGTATCTCCTTCACAAAAAGTCAAGAATTATATTACTGTTTCAACTTTTACGGTCGTGTGTGGTAAGATTTTAATCAAAAATATGTCATAAATTTTGAAAAAGGTTAAATACATTTTACGATCTAGATTTGGTGAAGTAGTTCGAATATAAGATTTATTGAATTTTGCCTGGCTAGAGTTTTTTTATCTGCATTTAAATATTATGTATGCTCTAATTTATTGTTCTTTTTATTACACAACCAGACGTCTAATTTGTATATCTTGGCTTAATATTTGAGAACAGCAGGTTCATATTATTGAAAAAGACAAGAAAAGAAAGTCAATGTCTTTGACCTCAGAACAATCATATCTCAGGCTAGTAAGTCATATACCTTTATGTGCTCTCAGAATTGTAATTGTTATTGTACATCTAGCATATTTCTTGTCAGCTACTTGAAGTGAGAAACCTGTTGATGCACAGTGTTGATAACCGCTTGTCTGACGATGCTTTTGAGGAATGTTTCAAGCGTATGAAAACTATTCTGGAAGCAAGCATGTTTTCCAACGAATATAGCACAAAGGCAGTATATGAACTAGAACAGGTACATGTATGCATATTTGTTTTTCAATGAAATTATCTTTCTTATATTACATTGTGTATAATAAAGAAACCTTGATCAAAGACATATGCATTAAAAAAATAAAAATGATTTATGTCAAGAACACGAGTTGTTTGATGAAAGCATACCCCTTAATATTTAGATTAAATATTAATTGTCGCTGTAAAGTTTTCAACGTATATTGAGGAAAAAGCATATTTATGTGAACATGTCTTTTGATATATGCTGGTAATAAGCGCCTCCGCTAATAAGCGTGTTTTCGCTCTGCGCCGCCGCCTTTTAACTTGTGATTTTTCGACTTTTTTGCTTGGCGGGATCGCGGGAGGAAACACGCTAATTAGCGGAGGCACTGGGCGAAGTTTTATAAATCAATCTTCGCCCCGCGCCGTCGCCTATTACCGTCGTCCCGAAACCCCCCGTTTTATTTCTTAAATCCCGCTCCGCACCCCCGCGGGGCGAAGTGTTATTTATTAAATTTCGCCCCGCGCCCTGCTTATAAGCAAGTTTTTGCTCCGCGCCGCAGCCATTTAACTTGTTGTTTCTCGACATTTCACTTGGCGTGGTCGCGGGCGAACACACAAATGGCAGAGATCAGCGCATTAAATATTCCTTTTTTACTTTACTATTTTCTGTTTAAAAGTTAAATAAAGAATGAGTATTCAACTCGTAAAACATTAAAAGTACTAAAACAAAAATTACTATTCTTATTTATGTCTACATTTTCGTATAAGTAATTTAGAATTGTAAAATATCAGGTATTTCTATAACTAGATAACTTTTCAAATCTAGATAATATGAGATACTTCAGACATATAACGTGCCTTTACGATTTAGTGTTTGACAAAGTCAATGTAATCGACTGCCAACATTAAACAGAAAATCAATCGGAATTGGACGAATTTACTTATCTAGTTTTTTATATCTTTTTTATCACGATATTAAATTTTTATCTTAATAAATTCTTTTATGAAATGCCATCCGATAATTATGATCCTTTTCACCCATCCATAGGTCGTATATATGGAATATCCTACATTGAAATAATGGAATACGAAATCGTTTCCGATAATCTGGTTGTCGCAAAAAGTTTGATAAACTCAGATTTCTCGTTGAATAGATATTTTGCTTGCAAGTGGCCCGCTTAATCTTAATTAATTTTGCTCATAAATACGTTCAGTATTATACCAACACTCACTTTATATTCGGTCAATATAGCATGTGGTTCCGTTAAAACGGTGTTGCATGGTTATGCATATAGTTTCACAATACGTCATTTGTTTTAATTGGACATAGCGTAAAGACGTGCTAAATGTAAGCATGGCATTATGAAAAATGAAAATGTTATATCATTGTTTTGTTATATAACAGTTCTTAGTCTCGGTGTAAACACATATTAAATTCGTGTAACTCTTAGACTCAAAGAACACACTATGCTCGCTATTATATATGCCAGGCATTTAATTACGTTTAGTAAATCAATCTTATATCTTTTTAAAAATTGTCCCTAGTACAATGTCAATTGTAGCCATTTGAGAAACATGTCACCTTTTTTCATTATCATGCCTGTAAATTAAAATTAAAATCAGGGTGTGCGCAGTACCATTACAAGCACCGCCTCAGGATTGCAATGCAATCGCTGAAAGGGGAAATAGAAAAGACTTATGCGGCGTTTTAGAGTGCAAGTCTGCTAAAAAGGACATTAAATTTACCTCAATGAAAAAATACAGATTTCGTAGTAAAAACGCTTTGTTTCATAGTCGCGGATGCACAGAAATTGTACTGTACTCTGACCCTACCGCGCTTATACAGTGTTAGCCTGAGTGCCGTTATGCGCCGAGAACGAAGTGAATACATGCAGACAATAGTCGGTTAAATATCTAATGCCACAGCAACGCTTGATCGCCTTGAAGAAACCGTAGAGTCACTATCTTTAATATTTCTGAAATGATTTTCGTGCTCTCATGGGCCTGTCTAGAATCGAACAACGCCATGCAAACACTGAGGAAATGCGATATTGTGACGGGGGCTTCTGATATGGCATGTTGGGTAGTGCACTTCAAATGAAAAAAAGACTAACTTTTTTTAAAGTAGTTAATGAACGTAATATAAATTATATTAACAAACAAGTAAAGTATCGTGTAGGGCGTCCTATTCAAACTTTAACGGTTATAATTGATGAAGCAATCAAAGCATAGTCCATTTTTGGTTGATTCACTTCTGTGTTGAATTTAATTTTGAATTTGTCATGAACAGTCTCAATCAAACCAAGCCTGAAACATTTCATATTGCGGTATTGGGCGTTTAAATGAGACACTGTTTTTTCTGTTTAACTATCTTTATCGTTTAGAATGGCAATGCTGAATCGTCACGAAATAAATATATGTATTATATACTTGCGATGCAGGTTTAATTGCACTGTCTTTTCAATTTTCAAGTTAAAAGGTATGCGTATCATAATGACTTCGCTGACAGCAGAAGAAGCCGCTGTTGTTAAAGCAGCTTTCAAGTCACAACAGTCCTCACTGGAATTTGACATCGAATTTAGCGGCTCATTGAAAAACGACTTAGTTTTGAAAGGTATCCTGAAAGCCAGCATAATAAATAGTGTACAGTTCACAAAAAGTCCTACACAGGTAAAATAATTTTCATATAATATTTGATGTTTTGTTTAGGTGAAACAATCGTCAAGAGCTAATAAGTATGTACAATTAAGCTTATTAGAGCGCCAAGAATTAAGAGGTTAGTTTTCGTAATTGCTTTGTGTCCGTCTTGTTCCCTTTATCCACAAGTAGTCTTAAAACATCTCGTTCTAAACGACATTCATGTGTCTGGCCACAGTTCAAGCCTTTACAAAATTTATCTAAACTGTTCTTCTACAAAATGTTGCTAAATATAAACTTGAAATGTAAAAAATTAAGCAGGCTTCTGCTAATACTATCATACCCACAGTTATCATTGCATCGACTAGAAGTTGCCTACAAAGATTGTTACTCATGTTCTTAGGTTAAAATTGTCCCATGTAACGTAACTTATAAGGACATAAACGGGTAATTAAATTTACTTTATGAATGTGCCTTGTTGGCCTCAACAAAAGTTTTAAAAATATACCATTTTCAATTATTTCACAGTTGGTAATGTAGTTTAATAATATTTGAGTAAAAGCAAAACAATGTACAAAGAGAAAACGTGGGAACAGCATGCCCGGTTGGTGTACTTTTATTTGTGAAACTTGACAGATTAATGAAACACTGTACCATGTTATTCCTATAAAAGCTTGCATTGACCCCTATATGCAAATATCTAATGTGAAAGTGTGTCTGCATGTAAACATAATTATATTAACGCAAAATCACATATTCTTTCAATATTTGTAAATTAAGTCATCTTATCAACATCTGATACGGGGCATGGTGAGATTTTTGTATCCATAACAGAAGTTGAAAGTATTCGGATAATCTAATTAATATTCATAAACTAAATCCTATTCGATTATCATGTAAATATAATGGCAAAACTGCATAATTATATCGTTGTCATAATAAACAAACTTAATTATTCGATCGGTACATATCTGAAAGAACATTTTGGCTATATTTCGTCTGTCTGATCATCTCATGTCAATTCTCTTTGGAAGGTCAACAATGTTAGTTATTTGCACTGCATATATATAAGTGCTTATTTGCTGTACATTTCGTATTTTGCTACCCGTAAGTGACACAAAATATAAGCCTGCGTTTGCTAAACAGACAAATCATATACGTATTATTGTAGTGAACACCTCGAGTCTGGGAAACTTCTAACGGAGATTTCAGATACATCCAACTGCGTTATATTTTCATACTGCATAATATTATGTAAATATAAATGATGTAATACGCTGTTGATAGAAGCCTTTTTTAACTACAAAATGTGCTGTTCTGTTTATTTCAATACTTTATATCTACAACAATGCACTTTAAAACTTTGTCTGTATGCATACTTGATCCTATGTCAAACCCATAACTTTAAGCCCGCTTTAACACAAATATCTCAATAAATATTATACGTTTTCAAACAAATTTTAATTTGACACCACAATTGGACAAAAGAAAATTTACTGACTTTCGTCCTTCTTTTTTTTGAGTTTTAGTTACTTACAAAAAACAAAGAAATTTCATGATAAGATTTAATTTCTGACAATTAACTGTCTCGCGACAATTAACTGTTTTGCAAGTTTTTAGTTGATCGTCATTCAAAGCAATGACATAATTATCAAATGTAATCAACATAATTATTATAAACTCAGTTGTTAAATATATATGTAAGTTTTTTTTTTATCATTTTCAGACTCCCGCGCCTTCAAGTCAGGCGCCTTCAAGTCAGGTAATAATTTATTTTTAGTAAAATTTAATGTTAGTCACAATGTAAACTGGTATTTTCAATACCCAATGTGAGTCACGGGTCAAAATGTTATGGTAAAATGATACAATCAATAATTGTATCATAGTTTGGAGACCTTTCTGTTGAAAATGTGTCAGGGTTAAATCGTATACATATACATGCACAGTGCGTTAACTGGAGTGCGGGTATTAGTTACCCGCACTCCAGAGCATGCCCATTGATTGGCTCATTTTTGCTGGGGTTTACATATTGTGACGGCAGAGAAAGGGAAAGCGACAGAAATATCATATTCAGATGTTCGTTCATTGGTTCATTTTTGCCGGGGTTTCATATTGTGACAACAGGGAACGTGTTTTTATGTTTGACTATGATACAAAAGAGAAAGAACACCAAAACACTCGGTAATCTGATTAATACTCGGGGGCTACGCCCCCTCGTACAAATCAGATAACATTGTGTTTCGGTGCTCTTTCTATTACTTGCACGAGATACAAACTTGACAGGTCGCAGATGAAACGGGCAGAGGGTCATGTTGACTCTGTTAAGGTTCTGTAGTTAAATAGATTGTAAAAAAAGTAAAAAAAAACCTCTTCGAGAATTTAAGATTCTATAAGCTTTCAAATGTCTCTGACTTTGTTCTTGTATTCTCCATAAGTAAAAAAACAAAGACTAAAAAACTAACATGGATTTGATTATATATATAATGTAAAGTTTAAAACAATACGGATAAAAAATAGCGGGAAAAAAAGAATGAAGCGATGCCTTTTCCAGTTTACATTGAAATTGTTTATTAACGTCAATTTGAAGTTTATCCACGAGCTATTCATGCTAAAAAGAAATTAAGGAGACAATATAAACTATATTTTTCTGTTTACGGATTCTGTTTGATAGAGTCTGAATATAAAAAGATTTGAAATGTAATGCAAAAGTAATGTACATTATTTAAAATGACTGTTTGAAAATTTATAGAATAATCATATTACATTTTTTTCTTATAACGAATTTGTTGTTGTTTTTTAGTCAAGCGCTAAATCACTGGGAGGTGCTGCCACTGGGGCTGCAGTAGGAACTGTTGCCGGTCCCGCTGGAGCTGCTGTTGGTGCAGCAGTTGGATGGCTATTGGGAAAACTCGCGGAATAACAGAATTGTTCATTGTCAGTTGAACAGATTTTGAGAAGGTTAATCAACATTCAATCATTGAAAACTTGATTTGAGACATTTATTGTGCATACCTTTTTAATGTCCATTGTTATGGCGAGATACTAAGATTTCAGATATGATGTCCTTTTGTATTGAATTAATGATTATTTGTGTGTGTGTGTGTGTGTGTGTGTGTGTGTGTGTGCGCGCGCGTGTGTGCATGCGTCTGTGTGTATGTGTGAGTGTGCGCAAAATAAAAGAGTCGGAAAGAAAAACAATTATAAGAAATAGTACATGGAACACAAACCGAGGAATATTTATTTTGTCTTCGAATGAATGTAATTCATGTATGATTTTCTTAAGGTGTGGATTTAAATCAGTGGTTATGTGACATAATAACTACAGTTAAATTCATATGTAGTTTATTTTGAAAAGTTCAAACGTTTATTTGTATTATTTGTATGAAAAAAAAACGAATTTTACTTCAACTATTTATGTTTTAATGTCCAGTACATGTAATTGTACATGAGGCGGGAAAAATTAGAAATTAAAAAAAATGTTTTCACAATTCGAACTTGTAAGTATTTTTATCGAATGTTAAACCATATATGTTAAAATAGCTTAATAGTGATAAGGTTTCTTTTTCTATATAACCATATCTTGACACTTTAATTAGCAAAAGTTATGTTTGTTTTTGTCCATGTTATTCTGGAAAAATGCCGCAATGTGCTACTGGGTTATTTCATTTCATTATAAATGCACATGTTGCAAACAACTTCATCCGTAGTATTTTACCTTTTCACTTTTGCAGCGGTTTTTTTGTAACATACACCTCGCTTTTATTTAGTGTTTGCTATATACATTCAGTATCAAGCATGATATCAGTTATTCTAACATGATATTTTAACATGATTTTAAATACAATTATCATACATTAATTTTATGATAATATCATTCCAATATAAATTAAGATTCATATAACAGTTTAACTTTGATTTACCCTTGTCCGTCCGTCCTTCCGTCCGTCCTTTCTCATTTTATATTGTACGTAGGTCAAAAAGTAAGGTTGCTCAGCATGTGAGGTTGTGCAAATAGATATTTTCAAGTGGATTTATTAAATATTTGTAGAGTTATTGCCCTTGACTTAGTAAAAGTTTAAAAATTCAAACTAGTGCCGCACGTAGCTGAAAAATTATTTGACCCAGGACCATGGCCATGAACATTACAGGAATGTTAATTAGCATGTGTAGTTGTGCACCTAAGTATTTTGATGTGGATATAATAATATTTATAGAGATTTTGCCCTTGACTTAGTAAAATTTACAATTTTCAACTTGTGTCGCACGTAACTCAAAAAAGTATTTGACCTAAAAACATGAAACTTTGCAGGTTGCTCAGCATGTGAAGTTGTGCACCTTGAGTTTCGATTATGGATTTATTCTGCTTTTTTCGAAGTTATTGCTCTTTACATAAAAACAATTGTAATTTTTGTGTCTCATCTACTTCTCCGTCGTCTGTCTGTCTGTCTGTCTGTCCGTCCGTCCGTCACAAAACTTGTCCGGACAACTCCTCATTAACTACTGGTGCTATTTCATCCAAACTTTACAGGAATGATCAGTTTCAAGTCTAGTTGTGCATATTGTCATCATTTTCCGGTTCAATGATTTTTGTCAGAGTTATGGCCCTTTAATAATTTTTAATTTTAAAGTTTGTCCGGACAACTTCTCTTATACCGCTTATGCAATTTCAATGAAACTTTACAGGATTGTTCTGTAGCTCAAGTCCTTGCGCATATTGCACGGATTTTCCGGTTGAATGATTTTTGGCCGAGTTATGGCCCTTTGATAAAAAGGTTTCTTTCTCTGTGTGTTGCCAGATACACAAAAGCTTGTACGGACTACTTCTCATAAACTACTGGTGTAATTTCATCCAAACTTTACAGGAATGATCAGTACCAAGTCTAGTTGTGCATATTGTCAGCATTTTCCGGTTCAATGATTTTTGTTTGAGTTATGGCCCTTTAATAATTTTTAATTTTAAAGTTTGTCCGGACAACTTCTCTTATACCACTAATGCAATTTCAATGAAACTTTACAGGATTGATCTGTAGCTCAAGTCCTTGCGCATATTGCACGGGTTTTCCAGTTGAATGATTTTTGGTGAGTTATGGCCCTTTGATAAAAAGGTATTTTTTTCTGTGTGTTGCCAGATACGCAAAAGCTTGTCCAGACTACTCCTCATAAACTACTGGTGCAATTTTATCCAAACTTTACAGGAATGATCAGTACCAAGTCTAGTTGTGCACTGTCCGCCTGTTTGTCCGTCTGTCACAAAATTTGTCCCAACATGAAATTGGCCATCATGAGGCGACACATGTGATTACTGATCGCTCTTGTTTAACTTGTTTCGCACATAGCTAAAATCGTTTTTTGACTAAGAGCCATGACACTTTACTGGAATGTGCTCAGGATGTAAAATTACATCTGAGGTTTCGGTTGTAGTTTTATTTTGTTTTGTGAAAGTTATTGCCCTTGACATACTGAAAATTTGCAATTACCATCTTGTGTCACAAATACTCAAAAAGTAGTTGACGTGTGGGCCTTGAAGTTTACAAGAATGTTTGTTAGCATGTCTTCTTATACACCTTAGGGTTTGCTTGTGAATTATTTTGTTTTGTGAAAGTTATTGCCCTTGACTTATTTAAATTTGCAATTTTCATCTTGTTCATGCTTAGCTTAAAAAGAATTTAACCTGTAGGCCTGAAAGTATACAAGAGTATTGAAGACCATGTATGCACCTTGAGGTTTTCTTGCAGATTTATCAGAATTTGTAAAGTTTTTGCCCTTTACTCAGTAAAAGGTTTTGAGTTTTCAATTGGTGGCACATATAGCCCATAAGAGTCATAAGATTGGCAAGTCAGTGTAGTGTGGGGGAACCCGTGTCTGATTATTTTATTTTATATGTGTTTTGTCTTTCATTTTTCTGATTATATGTTATTAAAGAAAGCATTTGTCTAAGTTTCAATTAATTCACACATATTTTTTCCAAACGTTGAAGAGAAAATTTTAATGTCATGTCAGAGCTGCTAGTTTTGTTGAAAGATATACATTGTTTCCAAAGCTTTTAAGTTTATTGTATCGCAAACTACTACGACGAATATATATTTTATATATTTTGATAATACATGTATGTTTATTTGCACTATTGTATTTAATTACGCTGACTGTTTTGTATAGAAAAAATACATTTTGAAGTGTTTCTCACAAATTGTGCTTCGTTATTCTTAAATTTAATCAAACTTTTATGTGTGCAATGTATTAAAAATATATTTAGCTAGCCTAAGGATTAACAATACGTAACTTGACACTATAAAGTAAATTGTCGTTCGACTTTTCGCATATTCCATCAACATTGTGTTTACCTTTTTGTAAGATTAGCAATTATGGTCATAGATCTGAAACATAGCTATTAAACATAACAAGGAGCGCTCCCGCTACAAAATGAGCTTATCTTGCAGGTGACGATGGGCTCAACATAAAATAATTCATAGTTACAATTGAAATGTTTATGAACAGAAGTAATCGCGGTGTGGGAGAGTGTGGTTACCGAAATTCTGCCCAAACAAATATGTAAACAGGCTACAAAACAGAAGAGGGCACACCTCAGAGAATAGAGTTGGCGTACAAATGACTGTTTAAGGCACTCCAGTGAGGTCCAACAGCGGCCTAAAACATACAGTTTTGTTATCTTATAGCTTGGACACTTAAAATAGACAGATATGCAAAAGATAATTAAGAGATATAATATAAGATAAATTGAAAATCGTATATTTGTGCTATTCTTAGCCCTATTTGAGTGAAAAGCGTTGCACCGCTTTTAATTGTTTTTATATTTTTTCACAATTAGAAAAATTATCCTTGGAAAACGGAGAGAGGGAATGATCTTATTTTTTGCACTAAAGTTATTTGTCTAAACATACGAATGGAACATTAATCTCGAAAAATTATTTCCAGTCCGGTCATGGAATCTTTTTAATTTACAAAAAAAAGTAAATTTATCAAAACAACTTATTACAAGGATATGGTATTAGAAGATGGGAGAGCAAACATTTGGACATTTTGGGAGGAAGAAAATGCAGTATCTTCAATTGACGACTATTTACACATCAACACAAAAACACAATATGTTACATATTAAATCATTACCCCCCCCCCCCCCCTTTGTGTAATGTAAATTTCCCGTAGGCCATTATTAAATAAATCCTTTAATGCAAGTGTACTACCTTACGAAGAAATTTGTACTATTACATAGTTAACAGCACATTTTAACATATGGTTATGTGGTTTATTTCCTACCATTAACCATAAATGTCCACAATTTAACGTAGTCGCTAAACAGGAAATGGATGAGCGACATACCTAGAATCGAGTCCCAAGGTACGGGACCACGTGTCAGTGTTGTATACCAAATATCAAGAGTTGGAACGTGTTAAATTATTAGTGTATTGGTGAAACGTAAAAAACAATCCACTTATTTAAGCATCAGTCTAAGCAAAACCTTACCATTTATTTATAAGTTGAATGATACCTGCAACGATCTACCCATGCATACACCCATTTACAAATACATACATCCAACAATCAACTCACCATCCATGCACCCGTCTACACATTCGGCACCATTCATTCGATTGGCGTTTACAGTTGTGTACAATTTATGTTCAGGCCAACAATTACAATTAATGAACATAAAGTTCAGTTTAAAACAGGCAAATACACAACAAAAGATGAGCAAGAAATAGAAAAACATTTCAAAATTGCATTCATAAACTGAACATAAATACTTTCCATAAAGGATTTGTGCTTAGCTAGCAAGATTTATAAAGATTCTTTATGATGAATATATTGCAAAATATCTAAAATCCAATTACAGCAAATTAAAAACCTGTTATAAATACATTGCTGGTCCACCATCTAACTCGTAGCGTGATTATAATATACCGTAACACTCCGGTAACGCACATTAGAAATGTATTTTATGCAGATGGTAAACTAAATTAAGCGGGCGATCTTTGTCAATGTCTAAGGAATGCCATCCAGTAACAGGAAAATCCGTCTATATATGACTTGATTTAAATGCCTCTATTTCTAACAACTTTGTAAATGTTGGTTAATGTAAGAATTCAAATGGTCGTATATTCTGAAAATCACAATTAATTGAATTAATCTTAGACAAATGGGAAGAAAAAACACTTAACTTCATACAAAGACAATTTATTTATTTCAAATGTTACTTGGTAAAACCTTAACATTTCATTGCTACAATTAAACACATTTGAATAGGCAACTTACATTATTGAAACATATTAAAATATCATCATTGCTTTGTGCCATTTGTATGACCAACAGTATTTTATTTACCTACTTTTCATAATCAATTGCATTTAATAATTTTACGGATTTAATTTGTGGTTAAAAAGCTTTAAAAACGTCTATCCTTAAATGTGTATGATTTCTTACTGTTTCACTTCATAACTTTGGGAATAGTGTTTAAAGTTTACAATAACATTAAAATTTAGATATGCGGTGTGATAACATTTTTCAATCATAGATTAACATATTTGCGTTTAACTGACTTAACTGACTTAAAAATATCTTTCTATCAAGATTTTACAGTCCTTGAATGAGGGATGAATAAAATAAGTTTTATGTTGACAACAGAGTTTTTTTAAATATATACTGCAAAGGTCTTTATTCAAAACCATACTAATTTATAGCTATATGTTATATATTGTTTACAGTATATCACAATTAAACTAACGGCATATATCCCTGTTTGAAATAAAAATAAGGCAATTCCATCAGTTATGAATGAAATACTTCTGCAGCCAATAAATTTAACCAAAAAAAATATCGCTGAGAATAACAAAGTTCCCACTGTTTCATTTTTCAAATAAACTTAGCATAGCAAATATAAATTATGGAATAAAATTTAATTTTAACAATGAATATAGTAAAATCTTATCCTTTCAGTTGAAGAATAACACCCTTAAATTGTATGAATAGTTAAATAATATGTTTTGATTTCTATATATAAGTATGATATCTTCTAAAGAAAATAAATCAAAATAATATTTGTCTCTCTTACAGAAAAGCTTTGCATAAAAATCAGATGATGCTAGCTAATTATTTAAATTGTAGTGTAATAGTGCCGGTTTATTATCAGTGGTTCAAGCTGATTCGAGCCAAACACTCAGTGGCGCTCTGGACAGACTTAAAATATAAATGGCCAAATTACAATACGGACGACACGTGATCACAAATATATCTTTAAAGAGCACTTTACCCAGGTTCTCTGAACTCTTAATTGCCAACCAGTGGCTAGGATGGTGGTGTAGGACGCTACCTTTAATTTACTCTTATTAAGAAAGTATAACACAAGACTTTATAAATTTAATATTACGAGATTTATTTAAACGACAATCATATAATTTATTTATCAAAAGTATGAATAAGACTATATATTTAAGCAGAATCTACCAAC